TCTCTCTCTCTCTCTCTCTCTCTCTCTCTCTCTCTCTCTCTCTCTCTGTGTGTGTGTGTGTGTGTGTGTATGTGCACATATGTGCAAAACTAAGACAGTCCTAGACTATTGCTGTGGCTACAACTGAAAAATATAATCCACTCTCTCTAGTACAAAATACTTTCCTATCTTAGTCTTGTGTCTCTTGTCGAACTAGGACCACATAAGACAACCACCTTACTAACTATAATTGATCAATGGACCATAAGTTATTATGTGTTAACATAAGGACCATGTCTCTCAGCTCTTCAGAGTTCCTCTTTGTGCCAGGCATGCAGCATTTAGGTCACTCACTCAGAGTAGCTGCAAGAAAGATTTCTGTTAGTCCTCACTATCAGTGTGACTGACTTTTGTGGTATCCAAGACCCTACTTTTGTTCATAAGACCCTAAATGACAGTATTTCTTTCAGGATTTCTCTAAAAGTTGTCCTTAACAGAATCAAATATTTTAGTGTTAGTTGTAAAACTATGTTTAGCTTAGATTTCCAAGCAAAAGTTTTCAAAAATATTCCCTCAGGCAAAAGTCCTAGATTATGTCATAAATTTTATCACTTGCAGGATTCTAAAAGTCTAGAGCCATTTCACTTGTATAAATATGAAGTAGACTTCTTGAGATTTTAGGTACATGTTTTACAGAATTAGATTACAAAAATGCGTGGCAGATTCATTGCCTACAACTGCAGTTTCAGATGTAGAGAAATCTGACTTAATTGTCTATTGACAAAAGTTTCAGAGCAGATGTAGAGTTCTCAGTGAGAATTCCTTATCAAGAAATTGTGGAGACTTTCCATTAGCTTAACTGTAGCACATCAAGAACAAAGCCCTGCCTTTGATTCCTAAACAACTACGAATATTGATGCAGGTATAATTTAGCCACAAACAGAATAAAGACTTTGAAAACTGGATAACCATTTGTAGGTACAGGATACTTCCACACTGTGTCTTTGTCTATGACATCCGACTAAAATCCTCCACGGAAGAATCTTAGTCTGCTACATACTTAGTTTCACTCCAATGCTGTGCTCTGACATCTGGCCAATCCCCCACAAGTCTCAAGACCCTGTAGAGCCCAGGAAGATCTTTATGAACCAGGAACTGTTCTTCAGCCTTCTTCCTCCTCTTTTAAACATTTTTTCTTTAAGCTTGATAGTCTACCTTTTGCATTGACTTTCCCACATTGATTATATACATAAACTCAATCATTTTAATGTAAACACATTTATTTTCTTATCAATTTTTCCTTGGCTCTGTGCAACTAAATGCATTAAAATTACTCATCATCAGATATCACTTTGTTGAATTATATTTTAGCATAATAATGACAAGAAGAAAGCCAAAGATGGATAAGAGTGAAACATCTATAATGGAAGAATGAAAATTTTATGTGAGTAAGAAAGATAGTAATTTCCTAACCCTTTAAATTCCCTGACATACTAGTGTATCCTTTAGAATGGCCACATTTCTACCTAAGTATCCTTTTATTCCTTAAGGAGATCTGGCATTTCTAACACACAGTTTGATAAGATGAAGCTACTGAATCTCTTTCTTTATTATTGACTTCATACTACTGGGAGCATAGTCATACTTTTCAAGGTGTCAGCCACAAATATGCAACATTGAAGTTAAATGTATATGTGGTCCAGCTTTGAAATGGTAGTTCTGTCATTCCTAAAATTATTATAATAATACAATTCTCAGAGGACAATATATCAAAGGTGTTAGACCTTAGCCTGGCTCGCTATTTTGCAAGGGATGAGCACTATCAGGCTAATGGTGTTAAAAACCCAGATACATTTGTTGTGCCAGTGTTTACAGGATATCTATATTGACTCTTCATTCTACTATCTTTGTAATTAGAATGATGTTTATTTTATAAATTGTTATGATGATTAAATTTACCATCTGTACAGTGTTTTTAATACTACTTGGAAAATAGTTAGTGTGAAGCTGGGTATGTTTGCCCACATCTGCAATCTCAGGATTTAAGCACCTGAGGCAGGAAGAAAGAGACCTTGAAATCAACCTGTACCACATAGTGAGACCTGGAAAAAAGAAATCCAAAATTTGATGCAACATCTCAATATAGCAACATTCAAGCAGATGTCCTTCAATATCTGTATTGTAGGTGTCTCTGTGTGTACAAAGATATGCATAAGAACCCTGATATGACAGACACATACATGGGCAAGCTTATGATAATTAAAAGGCAAGAGAATCATTTCTACAGACAATTCGACATATTATCACACCTAAATTAGCTGAATATTACATTATTCTAATATAACTATTGTTGATTTTGTTCATTGAGGCCATCACTGGATGCAATGTTTTAATAACAGCTTATAGAAGTAAGGCATGAGGGTAGATTGCATCTTAACATTTAAGTTTAGAGTTTTTCAAAACAAATCTGTATAGATGTTGTACTTGTATTTAATATTCACTGACAATTTTTATTATGAGTTATCACTAAAACTTACTGCTGAATTAGCCCTGACAAGACATTCAGCAGAATAGGGCACTACCTCAAGAGCCTGTCAGCCTTAACTGGATGATCAAACACCACACTGAAGTGGAAAAATAGATTCAATTTTATGAAGTTCTTCTTTGATCTCTACATGCATGCTATGGACACATATACAACAATAATAAACATTTATTTTTTAAAAGATTGCTGATTTGCCACACAACTTTTTGTATCAATATTCTATTTGTTTACCTAAATTAGTTTTGCAATGATTTTTATTTTCACTTATCTATCAACCACTTCATTTTTGAGGGTCTATATTTGCCAAATACTCTTCAGGCAAATAAACAAAGAACAGAGATCACATCCAGTGCTATCTAATTTCTGTAAGCTGTCAGCCATGTACAGAGAAAGGATTTTATTGAGTGTTTATATGTGCTAATCATAGTACCTCCCAGAATGTAACAAGAAAAACATTAGGATTACAGCTTAAGAAACAAACACATTTTAATGCTACCCACTCTCTTGTCTTTAGCCTTTATTCTTGGTTCTGGCCCTGAGTTCTTCTTATCTTAATGGGAGACTCATAAAACCTATTGGTTATAACAAGTTAATGACAAATGCCTGTTCCATCTTTGAGTCATGGTTCTGTTAACATGCACAGGCTGCTCTTTGCCATTTCTTATCATCGAGATCCTAAGCCATCATCTGTCCTCTCCCCATCCTCCTCCAGTTTTTCTCCTCTGTTTCATTTCCCATAGCAGTTGCAGTCCATTCTAGCTAATTTGGTCCTAGAAAGTGGTGTCTGATCACGATTCAGGAGGAACCAAATATTTAATGAATTTGCTCCATGCAACTATTGATTTAAATTGTCCACCTTATGTTTTTGAGCATAAACAGATAATGAAAAACTAGGAAGTAGAGGAATGATAAGAATAAGAAGAGGAGAAAATAATGTAGGTAAAAGTGTGATTAGAATTTACTATAACCATGTATAAAATTGCCAAATTTAATTAATCGATTTAAACCACCAAAAATGTGGACATATTGCATCACTTGTAAAGAAGACAGAATATATATACTCTGAATTTCTGAATTGACTACTGATGATAGAAAAGATTGAATGAGATTAAATATTCATAATAAAAAATATCACATGAGGAATCCATGTATTTATGTCAAAAATACTTGAGTCTATTACCAGGATCCAGTATTAAAACTATATTCAAAACACTGGCTCTGTGAAGTACTTTGAGGAACTCCAGAACATTTTTTGTCAATTCTACAGAAGACCTTGCTTACTTTAAATATTTAAATATTGTAGTACAGTTTAAATAGATATGGAATGCCAACAAATAATTAAATGTTTTGTGTTTATTCACACAATGCAGGAGTTTTGACAAAAAATTATTTTACAGTTTAGGTTTCATCTATTTTCTTGTTAATTCTCTATGACCTAGTCTTTATGTGGAGGGTTGGTAATGCATCACAGTCTTTGCAATTATCACTAAAATATGAAGAGCGTTATCTAGGGCATATGCCCAAGGGAAGTCTTCCCAAAACCTACAAAAAAAAAGATTGAAGATATTTCAGTATCACAGTTGCTTCCTATTGAAGATATTTCTGTATCACAGATGTTTCATTTTCAAGCATGCTTTAGACAACAGACACTGAAATAAAAATTACAAAGATTTCCTGTTTCCATTCATGACATGAAGGAAATAGTTCTTATTTTCACAATTTTATAATCTTTTTCAGTTTTCTAAATTTTACACTAAAATATATTTTGAAATTCTAATTACTGATTATACTATTAACTAACCCTGCCTGTACTTTTCCTTCTAAATATGCTTTTATTGTTCAGGTCTACATCATCAATGATTTGTAAAACGTTAAACACATCACCCAGTTAATATTTTTGTAGGATCCAGTTATATGATGAAATCAGATTTTTTTTTAAAAAAATAAAAGTACAGCTTTGATCATGTTATCTCTAGCTTAAAAATCTCTAAGAGTTAGTTATCCATTTTTAGCAAGAATGATGTTCTCTGATTAGTAAATGGAAATTTTACAGCAGATGAACTTGTAGGATGTTGTCATTGTTTTTGCTCAAATCTCTAAATGTTCTGATCTTGCTTTTCTTCCTCCTCACCCACATGCCAAGGCTCATTCATTCCATCATCTTTGATTAGGGAATTACAACCTGCTTTCCAGGGTCTTAAATGCCACCATTTAATGAAAAACTATTGATTTTCTCTAATGAAACTAAGTCTTCCCTTCAGGTCACATTGTTGTATTTAGCTATACACTTCATTCTTAGGCAGGTTTCAGATTTGTACTGTGAATTCAAGATGACTAAGACAAATTTTTGCACCTTACCATATGCGTATACTGAATAGTCTCTGTTTTCATTAAGTTTTTATAAATTATTAGTTAATAATTATAAGAATTATCAACAATTTGAAAGCAGAGTTAAAAGTAATGTTTCTCTTTTCCCTTCGTCTCTAGCATAGATCCTTGCATATAGAAGACCAGATTGCTAATTTCAACTAAATTTCTAGTTTTATTATTGATTTAGGTTTGTGATGAATGACACACAGAATTTTACTGATTCTCTTTTTGCTGATTTAATTATTTCAACTATTACAAGCTGGTATCTATCATGATTTTAAATACCATATTGTGGTAGTAATGAAAACCTTGTATAATGAATTAATTTTGTTCTTCACTGTCTTTCTAGTACTTTCATACTGGAAATTATGACAGCTAGCAATATCTTGTATCATGCTACAAAATTATTACAGGTTTCATATATCTCCTTTCTCTGCCTAAACAAAGTTTCAGTTATTAATCATAACATGCCAATATACATTAATATGCATTAATAGATAGCATATTATTAAGGATATAAACATTAGTTTTCTGGATTTTTATGTGTTCCTAGTCACTTGCTCACAGAACTATAAGAAAAGCTATTAATATTTTTTAAATATTTAATAAATGTGGTCACATGAAATTTGAGAAAATACAATGCCTTAAAGGTAAATGTTGAGCACTCAGCTTGTTGTTGTTTAGCACTATTGTTGGTAGTTGACTTTTTCACTAATGCACATTAAGTCATGTAAAATTTCCCATAGAAAGTTGTGTCTATCACTCATTTTCAAAGTTAATGGTGAATTTCAAGGTGGAGTCAAGATGATAGAAAGTGATCGATACTTTGAATCTCAAAGATAACCTGTGTAGGTACAGTCATGGCTTCCAAAATATCACATAGTCATTTTATCTACCAAGCTTAAGCTTGTTGTGTTCATTTGAGAAACATACTAGGCCTATGTATCTATTATTTGCATTCACCAAAGTAGAAAGAGCTCTATTTAATCCCAATAGAGAGAGTTGCAGAATCAAAAAGCAAAAACAAACACCGATATCCACACTTCTTTATGAAATCAAGGAAGAACAACAGATCACATTCTTGGGTCTTCCATCTATTTTCCAACCAAAATCTCGTTTATCTATTTTTTTCAAGATACTGTGTTATAAATAAGCCACAGGCTTACTGAATATATTTTAATGACATTTTAATTTGAGCTAAGCCTTCTTTAGCAGTCAGAATTTCTTCCAAGTAACTTAGTTTCTAATGCAAATGCTCATCTCAGCAAGTCCTGTGTTGTAGAAACTCTTAATAACTGCATACTAGAAATCTGAAGGCCTATGGAAAGAAGGAACAGGCTTTAAGCCATAGAGCTGGGAAAATAAGGAACTTCATTCCAAGTCTGTGCCCCAAACAGCTGCGGAACTGGAGCGTTGTATTAATCTTAATATAGCCACATTGTTTTAGGTGCATTATATCATTTCCAAAATAAATATTTAATTCTTAAAATGTAAAATGTGATATTCTGAGATTACTTATCCAATATATTGATATGCTGGTATACAAATATACTGGTAAAATAAAGACAGAAGTAGATATGCTCCTAAAAACTTAATACAATGAAGTGTTTCCAAAATAAAATTAGGAAAAAGTTAACATATTTTCAGTTAGCAAATAGTTTTCCTTAGTAAGTGTAGTCTGGACTTTAGTAAATTTCACATTTCTATGATAAATGTCAAATGTGATTTTGCATACTAAAATAGCCCAATCTAAATTTCTTTTTTGCATATTCAAGGGGAATAAATAATAATTATAAGTAAAAACAATTTAAGCTATTAGTTTGAAATATACATAATTAAACAACATGTAAGAAGGTGACATCATTTCTAAGTTGTATTTTTACTTATATTTGACAGTGTACACTTCTATTCTGCAAAGGATAAAATCTATCAGTGTAAATTGCTACTGTTGCATGCAGTTACTAAAGGGAAAACTTTGGAGACTCACTTTACAAATTACAGATGAAAATACCCCATAACTCTTAGTAACAACTGTTGACTTTGCCCATAGGAGCAAAGCCTTCGAATTTTCTCATTAATGAGCAAACACACACACACACACACACACACACACTCACACACACACACACTCACACACTATGACCTAAGAGAAATCAAGATTCAGAGTATTAATTCCACTAGCCACTTAGATGGTGAGTGGAATAAATAGAGAACTATTTTACAAAGAAGCATGAGGAAGGGAAAGAGGGAGAAGGGGGGAGCAAGAAAAAAACAGTTATGGGCATTAATCTTGCTGCTTCATTTTATATATCATATTCTTTATAAAGAGTTTTCTAGAAAATGCCACAAAATATTAGGTTAGTCTACACCTTATTCTTGCTGTCATAACTCAGTTTCAAATTCTGCTTCCTAGACAAATCGAGAATATTAGCATGTAGATTCCCACTCTCTACATCTGAAATGCTTTGGATGTAAGGGTTGTGATGGTCCAGTTTTACACAAACGACAGGATGAGTATAGTACATGTTAGGTGAAACAGTCAACATTATTGTTAGCATATCCTTGGAAAAGCATAGTTTGGACAAAATCAATCAATCAATCAATCAATCAATCAATCAATCAAATTTTTTGACTTATGATTGTTAAGAACAAATTTAAGCGGAGTTGGAGGCCATTGTAGGAACTAGAGCATTGAGGGGGACATTAAGCGATGCAGCTTGTCAGTGGATATTAACTCCCAAATGTTACATTAAGAGGATAATAAAATAGGGAAGGAGAATAAAGAAAATAGGGTGATGGTGAGCTACGTTTTATTTTAAATATTAGAGAAATCAATATGATTCTAACTCATTTGTGTTGTGAGTAATTTCATTGTAGAATGAGGAAAAATATTATTTACAATATAACTCAAAGGATCCATAAGCGGATAAGAGCCATAATTAAACACAACAGTAAAACTGTTTTCTCTTAAAATTGTTCAGCGTCTGCATTGGACACAGATATCTCTATCTTCTGAAAATTAATCTTATAAACTTATTATCAGAGCTCTTGAAGTAAAAGTAGAATTAGATGTGTATTTACTAAGATGTATGCAAACTGTAATATCTACAAAGATATAAATGTATGCACAAGTATATATTATGCAGTAGATATTTCCATATTTATATGTATTATCATTAATTCAAACTCATCCTTCTTTGTATAGAAATATCACCAATTGCTTTCCTTTCAACATACTGAGTTGTAAGTAAAGAAAACAATAATTTTATTTTCTCAGGGACTCTTGAACCACATTTACTACTATATTTGATTTCAGGATAAGTTCTTAAGAAATTCAAGTTTTTAAATTGTGTACATAAATTCACATCCTGTGAAGGCTGATGATGTCACAACCATCATGTTTCTAGAGCAAAATCAAAAAGCTTAACAAAAAATCATTTCAAGTATTTATAATATAACAATTACAATGTCTGAAATAAATGTTTAAGGATGATTATGAATCCTTAATATTTTATAGCTTATAAAATAGTCAAATATAGACAATAGGATTAGGCAAAATAATCCTTTCTCAGAAACACTAAAATTTAAAAGCTATTCAATAGCATATACCTAGGACAAGGAACCTGGCAGAGGGAACAATTTAAGTACTTCTTCTTTAGTCAATAACACTTAAAGATTGATTTTTAAAGGATTACTATATAAATTTTCTATTGTGCATCTTATATTTAATTAGCATAATAAACCAAAGACAGGGATTACATAAAAGTACCTGACTTTTCATTCCCAGACATCAGTTGATCAGGGCTTTTGTGCTAGCCAATCTAAGCTACAATAACAGACATAATAAAAAATTTTCTAATAAGTTAAATAGATATTTCTGCTAGAATGCCAAGTATTAGAAATATTTTATTCAATAACAATACATTAGTGTCTTCAATTTGGCTTCACCAACCCCAGTCAAGTCTTTCCTTGACACTGACATTTATTCTGATCCTGGGACTTGCCCTCAGTCATTCACAAAGCAGCTGTCAAACGTTTGGAAATTTCAAGACTGTTTTGTATTTTGTCTTTAATGTGAAATCAGACATGGTAGGAACATTTGAAATATGAATATGAGCTAATATTATAAGTCCAGATTTTTCTTTTTCTCCAGAGAGCTTATTTGCAAACAT